AGCAAGGAAGAACCACCAGCTAATTTTAGGCCTCTCCCCCAACCCTGTGCAGTTAAAAGGTTATGTGGACTTGTAGCTGCACCTGTGGGTTAGGTAGCGTGCTCCTTGCTAGATGCTGGGGATACAGGAGTGAATGTGTTACCAGCTTCCCCCTTGATAACAAATGGTGCGTTTTGATTTTTGTACAATTATAATTGGACAATCATCCTTCGTGGTATTCAGGTACTGAGTAAACACTCTGTGCTATTGTTGAGTATTATTTTTGTACTTCAAAACAACCAGAACTAAGCCATTTAACCACATACTGCTCAGTCATGGAAAAAGTATGTTGATGACTTGGCCAAAGTCTAGAGCGAGGCCTCTTGAATTGAGGCCAAACAGTAGCATTCCCTTTACAGCTGCTCCACTGGAAAGCACCCCTGATGCTGAGTGCCTGGCTCACTTTCACCTTCACACTGGCATTTCCTTCCAGGGGATGCTTTTCACCTTTCCCCTGGAACCGCCACCCTGATGCCAGCCACTGCCTCTGGGCCCAGCAGGCTGTCTGGCGTATGGTCTGGACTTAGAGTTGAGTCGTTAGGGCATCAGCTTTTGGTGCATTTGTTTTGTGGCATTTTTCTTGGGTTCCTTACTTAGAGTGCCCCCCACACACACACACGCACACTTCATTTGAAGGCTAATTGCAGTATAAACTTATTATCCTCATTGGTTTAACACAGTGCAATTATTATGTTTTCTTATTACAACTAATAATCAGGTTCTTTATTTCAGTCATTCTGTCAAAATTTTCTTTGATTTCAGCATGTGTGATATGGAAGGATGTGGCATTCTAAGCAAACAAATGACTGACACACTCCTTGAAGTTCTGTCAGGGGTAATGAGGGAATCAAAACAAGTTCACTCTTAGCTGCCATCGCCTCCCTCCCCCCTTTTACTCCTCTGAGCCCCGACAGCAGCAGCCCGGGTGGGGGGTGAGGTAAGCCCTGGGAGGTGCAGGGATCGGAATGGGAAAGCAGTGGGGAAGCCGCCTCAGATACTAGTGAGAATGATTCCGGAGCCTTTCTCTAGGCTGGTTTCTCTGGAATGATGGGGTGATATGGAGCTGGGGGTGGCATGGGGGTTGTGTTCTTTCCTCTGGTGTAGTTCTTGTGTTGTCCTTTGCTACTGAAAGTTCACAGGTCGAGGATCAGTGGACTCAGGGTTAAAGTAACAGCAGCCCCCAAGGCTCCAGAACCCCTGGAAGAAGCCACTCTGGAGTAGCTGATTCTGGATGCCTGAGGCTTAGACAGGAAGACCTGCATGCTTTAGCTTAGCCGCTGCTTAAAGCCTTTCGCACATTCCCAGCTCTGTTTTTGCTGAGTTTTGCGACCCCGAGGGAGTCTGTTTTTGATGCCTAGGCATATTGTGATTTATTTTCCAAGGGTGCCCCTTGGAAGAATGGTATTCATGGCGTGAACTACTGAAACAGCAAGTGAAGGAGATGGGGCTAATTCATGTTAGTGCTTAGCATGGCCTGTGAAACTGGTTTTTAAAATAAATCTAAGTGTTTTCTTGTGACTCACTTATTCAAAAAGTTGAGAGCTAGGGAAAAGGGAGGGAAGGGGAAACTCCAGATAATAAATGATTTTTGTTGGATGGATCCTGATTAATGAGCTTGAGCAATAGAGTGATTTATTTTCTCTGTTCCTTGCTCTTTTCAATCAATAAAGATATTTGAGGTCCTGGTTTGAGGATTTGCCGAGAGACCACATTACTTAAGTCTCAAATGTAATCACTTTCCCAAGGATTTGCCCTTTTTCTTTCTATTCAGCTCAAACCAGCGACCTCCTGCCATGTGCCTCCTCCTGTGAGGCAGCAAAGGTGAGTGAGACACCACCTCTGGCAGAACCTGGTGGTGAGGGTGAGAAGCGGTGCCAGCGTGCAAGTACTATACTCTGCATCATGTGCAGCTCGGGGTGCAATCAGGAAATCGGGAGGGACTTCATGGGGGGACTGGCATTGGATTGGGCCTTGCAGGGTGGCCCCTGGGGGTGGCACATGAGAGGATGTGCTGGCATGAGTTCAGAGACTGGGAAGTGTGAGTATGTCATTTTCCTGAGGGTCGTCATAGTTATTACCACTGAGCACTTGGCATGTGTAGACATATTATCTCATTCAGTTCCTATAACACAGAGTGGCACTTTTTTTCTGTAAAGAGCTGGATAGTAAATATTTGAGGCTTTGTGGGCCAAAAGGTCTCTGTTACAACTGCTCAACTCTGCCATTGTAGTGAGAAAGCAGCCATAGACAACTAATGGGTGTGACTGTCCCAGTAGAACTTCGTTTATAAAATACTTGTTTGCTGGGTTTGGTCCAGGTCCCAGTTTGTCAGCCCCTGTTTTCTAATGTATTTGGTATAAGCTCTGTTTTATGAAGGACAAAACTGAAGTATAAGCAAGGCTAATAGAAATTCCCTTGCCCAGGGCCACGGGCCCACTTGACTCAGTCAAGTCTAAAGCCCATGCCCTTGACTTCCACGTGCACTGCCTCCTCCACAGTAGCTTGAGAAGTGGCCTGGGGAAGAGCCTTGAATCTCAGTGGGATCTCTGACAGCTCTAATTCAGTGGGAAGTGGGGTGTCATTGATGGTCTTTTGAGCAGGCAGTCAGATGAGAGTGTGCTCGGGGAGATTAGGTTGGCAGGGGTGTGTAAGTAGATTAAAGTTGAGAGAAGAGGAGCTCTTGTTTTAAATAGCTTGAGAGGTTCATTTCTTTGACTGAGCCATTTCTGACACTGCAGAACATTAAAAGTTCTCCCTGGTAGACCCGCTACCTGCATGGCCTCCCCATGGCTTGGTGCTGTGTGTTCCTGCTGGATTGGGCAGACACATGGAGGGCTGATTTTAGAGACAGTACATCTGTTTTAAAGTACTGTACCCTCCGTCACCTAGGGAGGGAATGAGTGGAGGCACCAGCGTCTCGTCCCACTCAGCAGTGTCCTTGTCCATGACCCCTTCTCACCGTAGCTGATGGTCTTGAGGCCGATGACTTCAAGCTTTGGAATGCTTTCACGGTCCCTCTGACGTAGCTGGTGGGAACGTTCACAGATCTCTCCAGGTCCTGAGTCCCCTGATCATCCAGGTCTTGAGAGAGCATTGTAGGTGTACCTTCTCCTAGTTAGGGAAGGAGGCCTCACCCTGTGTACCGGCCTGGCCACTTTCTCGCCTGCCTTTCTTTTACAGTCGACCATAGTCTGTGAGGATTAAAAAACAAAAACTAGCCCTAAATCCCTACCTTTGTGGAACCTACAGAACTAGGACTTGGACCCAGGTCTGCCTCTTTGCCTTTTAGTGTTTTTCTCCCTCCCTCTTGCCTTCTTAAGAGTTTCATTCAATGATCATTGACATTTCAGATTGGCCATTGTAATGACCAAGATGGTGTTCTATTTCCTTAGCTTCCTCAGTGCTTACAAAATGGAGAGTGATCTTGCTCTGTTAAATTTTGATCTCTGACAACTTGGGAGTCACGGGGAAGGAAAGTAATGAGGATTTAAGGATGGTCCAAGGTGTGAAATAGAACCACACTGCCCAGTGCAGTGCAGACAGGGCATATCTGTCTTCAGACCTTGTCAAGGTAGAAAGTGCAGCTCTGCCTTTCCCTCTTGGGGATGTTACCCTCACAGTCCCAGGTGGAGTAGGCAGGTGCCCCCTCTCTAGCAGGGCTCTGCTTTGCAAGATCAGGCTCCATTCCCGGAGCCTGAAGAGGCAGGGAGGGCCCGTTGGGGGAGATTACTCTGGACATGATGTTCAGAAGCATAAGTGTGGAGGGTGGAGGGTGGGTGAGGGCAGGGCTTCCACCGCTCTGCAGTCACACGAGGTCTCAGAGCAGGCTGGCTGGTGGAGATACAATGATCACCTTCGTCATTTTGGTGGAGACACCGTGTGGGTTAGTGTGCAAACTCTTGGTGCTAATATATGATCCAGCTGAGGTAGGGTAGTTATCCTTTTGAGCAGTCATTTGTTCGTATCAGTCTGGGGGAGAAAACGTGCTGATAAACGGCGCCTACGTGTCCCTCCACCATCTCACAAATCCGTGCGTGGAACTTAGCACTCAGAATTGGTGAGGAGGTTTTAAGTTTTGTTTGCATATGGCTTATGTCCGTTAGGGGGAAAGTTTGCAGTGAGAGTTTTCTCATGCTTGTTGGCCTGTTTGGAAGAAAATATCCTTTCGTGCTGATGGTTGTGTGACCGAGAGGAGCAGGTTTGTATGTGGCCACCAGGCATCTGCTCCCCTGCTCTCGTGGGTGACCCAGCCTCTGCCTTGCAGGCTGCGGTGTAGACCAGTGCTGCGTTTAAGTATGTTGGAATTTGCTGGGTTTTGTTCACAGAATCCCAACAGTGAAAATGATGCCTGTCTTTTCCATTGAACCGATTAAATTTGAGATTACTGTAAGGCCATCAATAACTCCACTCACACAGAGTAATTGAGGGGCTCTGTGTTTTCATACTTGCCCTTTTTTTTTTTTTTTTTTTTACAAGAGACACAGGCTCCTGAGAACTCAGTTAACTCAATAGCCCTTTTTACCCAGAAATGGCCCATTAAAAGATGCCTGTTGGGTGGTAACCTCCCCATACGTTTTCTCAATAAAGAGAAAAAGATGGGAAGGGGCGGGGTGGTGGCAGTGGGGCGGGGGGACCTCTCTTGCATTTAGAGCCTCAGCCTCTCAAAGCCGTCTGGCGCAGACTGTTTAGTTCCGTGTCCCCTGTCCCATTCAGGCCTCTGCGTGTTTTGAAGCTTTCTTTAGCTTTCCCCCGAGCCTTGACGGCAGATCTTTCAATAGGCCAGAGCCCAGCTATGGTTGCTGAATGCCCCATCGGCACAATGCACTGAATGTTAATGGTGCTGGCTGGCCCTAGACGACTCGCCAGCGGGATGGGGGGCTGCTGCGCAGGCCCAAGCAGCTGCCTCAGACCCAGATGGGGTCCGACTGGCTTCCTAAAGTTGCCTCTTTGCTCTTTTGCAGATCTACACGGACTGGGCCAATCATTATCTAGCCAAATCAGGCCACAAACGTCTCATCAAGGATCTCCAGCAAGATGTGACGGACGGTGTCCTTCTGGCCCAGATCATCCAGGTTGTGGGTAAGAGCAGATTTTGTGCTGGGGATGGATGAGTCACAGTGGAGGCCTGGGAGGGGTCGAGTCGAGCAAGGGGAATGGAACACTATAAACTCTTAAGAGAAATGTGGTATTTCTGTCCCATATGTTGAGAATTTATCTGACTGGTGCTCAGGGAGTGTGGGTATCAGCCCCTTTTTCCTGATAAGATCACCCACATAGCGATCTCATCTTGATCCTCTGAAAAGAAAGACGGGCCAAGGCTGGAGGGAGATGCTGGTGGTTTGGGGAGGGGCTCTGTGCCCCTCTTCTTACCTCCTACTATCTTTCTGGCTCTCTCATTCTCTCACCCATGCCCCTTCTCTGTTGGTACTTTTTTGAGTGGATTACTCTGGAAATATTTCAAAACAAAAGATTTTAAAAAGCAACATGGGATTGGTTTTGTCCTGCCAACTCTAATCGGGTTTCAGAAATTGAAGGATCAGACTCTGTAGAGAGCTGGTTCTGGTTTTCACACTAGGGGAAGGGAACCGGGTGGTGGGATTTTTAATCCTGTGGCCATGTGCTGGGAGGAGAGGGTTCATCCAGGAAGGCACGTGGGAGGAGGCTGGGCTCAGCTTTGCCTTGGGCTTTAAGGGATATGCCCCAGTGGTCCTGCCTGGGAGCTCACAGCAGACTGAGGAGGCAGGAGGTCAATTAAACACCGTTAGGCTGATTGTTGTCGCTGGCAGCAGCCAACTCATGCCAAGAGATGCCAAGAGAGAAAGCGCAGGGAGAAGACAGAAGCTCCAGCCCCTTGGGCATGTGTTATTGTGGAAAAGTCACTTATCCTTCAAGTATGAGAAGTAGCCTTGTGTAGTTTGTAGCTCTGCTCACATCTGTGGAGATTGTGCCTGAAAACACAGGCAGGTTGGCCCTTAGCTGAAACTTTCGGACTGTGGCTGCCGCTCAAGGAGAGAGAAGCTTCCCTGCTATCCTGAGATTGAGTACTTCAGAATAGCTTCCACTGGTTCTCCTCCTCCTGCTCTCCTTTTCCCTCCCCTCCCTGTGTTAGTTTCTGTTGCTATAAACAAATTGCCACAAACTTAGCAGCTTAAAACAACATGCATTTATTATCTCACAGTTTCTGTGTGGCAGGAGAGCGGGTGTGACTTAGCTGGGCACCCGAGCAAGGTTGTAGTCAAGGTGTCGGCCGGGGTTGAGTTCTCATCTGGAGGCTTAAACAGGGAGGGGGCAGGTTCACTCAGAAGAGCGTTGGTGGAATTTATTTCCTTGCAGTTATAGGAGGTGAGTCCTGATTCCTTGCTGCCTGTTGACTAAAGACCCCTGTCAGCTCCTAGAAGCCTCTCTGCTTTTTGTCATGTGGGTCTCCCAACACGGCAGGTTTGATTGACTTCTTCGGTGTCCGCAAGAGAGAAAGCTTTTTGTTGGGAGAAAGAACCTTATATAATGTAACATCCTATCACTTTTGCCATATCCTGTTGGTTAAAAGTAAGTCCTAAGTCCTGCCACACTAGCAGCAGGAGAGTATTATACGAGGGCTTAAGCTTAAGTGAGGGGATTCTTGGGTCACCTTGAAGTCTGTCTGTCACACTCCTCTTCTTCCTTTTTGTCGCCTTTCTCCTCCCCTTTATCATCATGCCTACCAAGCTCTTTTAGATACTTTTCTTGTTTAATTTCTTCAGCATCTCTATGAAGTAGTCAGTATTCTCTCCATTTTACAGATGTAGAAACTGAGGCCCAGTGAGCCAGTAGCCCGATATCATGTCATCTAAGCTGGATGAATCTGCCTCCAAAACTTCTGTTCTTTGCTTGGCTACATTACCAGTCCCCGTCTCAATCCAGAGACACTGAACCCGTACAAGGTTCTTCTTTCCTTCCCTGCAGTTCAGTAACCAGGTATGGAGCGTTGACGTGGCCAGCATTGTGCTCCTTGCTGAGAATAGAGGCAGCTGTGCAAGGCTTGGAAGGAGTAGCATCTTCTTTGGCAAGGTCCTCGTGGAAGAGATGACTCCCACCTTAGCTAGGTTTGGATCTCTGTCTCAGCAGGGTCACGTCAGGCCCCTGGGCCAACTCTGAGTCTTGGGCTTGCAGTGTTTCTCCCAGGAGCCCTCCATGCTTTCAGCACAGGCACAAGGCAGAAAGTGGGAAAGGATAGCACCCAGAGCCTTGCTCTCATCCCAGCTCCATCCCGCCCCACTGTGGGGCCTCCAAAGAGCCACTTAACCTCTGCTGCCTCTGTTTCCCCATCTTTAAAATGGGCACTGCCATGCCTGCTTTGTCTGCTTTTGTGGCAGTCTTATGGAGTGCAAGGTTGCTATCAAATATGAAATACGTTTGGAAACTGAAGTGTTCCTAGATAGCACGTGGTAGGCGCTGCCTGGAAAGGTCTGTGGAGAAAAATGATGATCTTCGGCAGCAATGTCACAGTGCATCATGGTAGATTAGTTACGTCTGTCATGGGCCCAGCAGAGGCGAATGGTAACAGTATGTAGTGAATTTACTAAATGTAGTGCTATGGAGATATAAGCTAGCATGATTTTTACTGTTGCTCAAGAGGATGTTTTCCTGAATCTATTCAGATGACATTAGTCCCCCTAGACAGTTACCCCTCTGGGCCTGGAGCTACTAGAGTAGGACTCCAGAGGCTCAAGTGAGTACCAGTGACCCAGGCTGCCCCTCAAGCCACCAAGCTGCTTTCCTCAGCCCTGCAGGAGGGGCTGGCTCTGGCCAGAGATTCCTAAATAAGGTCAGATGTCAGCACACGAATCTGCACCCCTGACCGCACCGGGCCCACACACCCTGCTCCAGGCCTGCAAGATGGGGAGCTGAGAAGGCAGTTAAACACAGGAGTCTCCTGTGTCACTTTTCCCCGATGTCTATCAGCCCATTGAGACCGTTTAATCTTAGAATGTCCTGTGAACACAGATCTCTTGGTGACAGAAGAAGAGGAGCAGCATTTTCTGATCAGGGTGCTGAACTATTGACCAATTGTACTCTTTACTTTTGAGGTCCATGCTTTCCTCTGACATGTCCATTAAAATAAAATAGAAAAATATATATTTGTATGGGTACATGTACTTAATATATACATGTTATATGTGTATATCTATCTATCTGTCTATCTGTCTAAAAATTTCCTAGGATTAGAGCCCTGGTGACTCCCTCTGGTGCTGGACAGAATTCTGTTGGTTCTTTGCCTGGAGATCTCTCCCCCATTCATGAAAAGTCAGTTTCTCTCTGATACCTTTCCTGGCTCCCCCAGGCAGCTGGAGGCACCCTCCTCTGTCATTCCACCGGCTGCTGTACTGGGCCTGGGCCTGAGTCATCTTCCTTTCTGGGTTCATAGCATTTAGCAAGGATTAGGGATGAGAATTTTATCCACTGCAGCCCCTGCTTCTGCAAGTCTGGATCGAATTTTTTCCAACAGATGGCCTGGAGGTTTCTCTTTCTCAGCATTCAGTATTCTTCCGAACATTCTTCTAAGCTGTATGCCACACCCTCCTCCTTTCCAGGATTCTGCTGCAACTCTTAGCTCTAAGTTTTGGAAGTGCCCTTTAAAATCTCCAACTTGATGCATGAATTGCTTATATGAAAGGCAATCAACAGATTCTGTTAAATATTTACTGTGATGGGCATCTTATTACCTCCTCAGGAAACTAAATCCAACACGGAGAATTGGAATCCTTCAAAAGCTCTTCTTTTATTAGGTCAGAACCACCCCCTTGGTGGTATCTCCCTACAAGTACTAGTTCTCTCCTCCAGGGCTACAGAAACAGTCTAATCAGAGACAATGAGAGCATCAAAATAGCTGAGGATGGTCATGGATCATAATTATGGAATAAAATATGAACCTATAAGTCTATACTGATAGATAAATATGATACATCAATAGAGCAGAGAGGGCTCCACTGACTGATAAATGTAGAGGAGTCACAACCTTGATGGTAGATTAGTTAAGGCAAGAATTTCTATGGATGCTGAAATCAAGAGAGGGAAGTTTGATGAGGAGCAGACTGTTTGCTTTTTCCCAGAGTGTCTCTCCACTGATTGCTTACTAGTTCCCAGGGGAGATATAATAACCACACAGGAGAGAATCCCCACATCATGACAGGGGGATCAAAATGACATTATTGCGGAGGGACAGACGAATGTCATGTGCTCCCAGTGTCATACCCTAGAGAACACAGTGTCACTGACGCTGAATTCCAGTCAGGGATGGAAAACCTGAAACTAATTGTGAGGAATCTCAGACAGACCCAGATTGTGGAATATTCTATTAAAAACAAAACTGGTCTGTATTGTTCCAAAATGTCAGTGCTGTGGAAGAAAGAAAGGCAGAGGGATCGTTCAAGAATAAAGAGACATGACAACTAAATGCACTATGTGGTCTCTTGAACTGGGGAATAAAATACTATAAAGGACATTTTTGCATCAATTGACAGAATTGGAACATCGGAATTATATCAAGCCTAAATTTTCTGAAAATTTTTAAAAAATACATCTTTATTGACTTAAGAGAGAAGGGAGAGGGAGAGAGAGAGATAGAAACATCAATGATGAGTCACTGATCGGCTGCTCCTGCGTGCCCCCCACCCGAGATCTAGCCGGCAACGGGCGTGCGCCCTGACGGGGAATCGAACCTCCATCTCCTGGGTGCTAGCTCGATGCCCAACTGCTGAGCCACGCCCGGCTGGGCTTTTCTGAAATTTTTGACTCTACTGTTAGATAATATTCTTGTCCTTTGGAAATGCATGCTAAGTATAAAGGGCAAAGGACATGATCTAGGTAGCCTACACTAAAGTGACTCAGAAATTAGTGCGTCCCTATACAGAGAGGGGTGCGAGGGGGGAGAAAATGAGAATGAATGAAGGAATGTAGACAATCTCTGTACTATTCCTGTAACTTTTCTGGAAGTTTGAAGTTATTTCAAAGTAAAAAGTTAAAAAGAACACATCTCAACGAAGGTCCATCAAAATTTGCAGGCAGGGAGACTGTCCCTTTTAAGGGAGAGCCTCTTTCTAGACCCAGGAGGAGTGTCATGCATACTGACTAAGGACCTGTGGTGCTATGAGACCTGGCCCATGATTGGCAGGGACGGGGGGTGGGGGGGGAGGTAATTTACCTATTAGTAATTTACCTATAAGCCAAACTTGGAGTCAGTTAGGTGGAGTTAGCTAGGTGAAGCAGTCAGGAAGGGCATTCCTGGTAGAGGAAATAGTGTGTAAAACAGCTGGAGTGTAGAGAGCCAGAGGGTCAACAAGGCTTAGTCAGGCAGGGCCACCAGGTACCAGGCAGTGAATTCTGTGCTTTACAAAAGCCAGTGGTTGGAAGAGCTGATTTTTCAGGTTGGGGAGTGACATAATCAGATGTGAACCGAAGGAAAACCTTAAATGCTTTTCACACACACTGCTCCTATCTAAATCGTCACCTATTCCTAACACCCCTGGAGGTGGGCTTCCCAGGTAGTGGGGTTATTTGGGGCCCATATTATTCCATCGTTGCCTCTGCCCTTGAGGCAGAAGTGGACCTTTGCTACTGGCTCTTCGTGTCCTTCCTTTAGTGACTGCAGATTGGGTCTCTCTGTGTTCAACCTCTTATTAGTGTGATTATCTTCTGGACTCGTGAGCTGCCCAAAGTCAGCAGTTGCCAGCCAGCCCATTACGGTGCCCTCTCCATGAGTTAGTAGAGAGGTTTACGAGGCCAGGACAAACAGCATGAATCAAGAGGAAGACAGGCTCCCTCCTCCTGCGTACATCGCTGTCACTCGGGGAGGGTGCCAGGAGGGACTGGAGTGAGGGAAGGGAAAAAGGGCAGGAGAAAGGGAGGAAAGAGGGCAGAGGGAAGGAGGGAAACAGGATGGACACAGAGGACTGGAGGGAAGGAGGAAGCCAAGACCTAGAGGAAGGGATTTCCTGTCAGAGGTGAAGAGAGCCGATAGCTTATTTTCCATCACCATTTGGGCTGCCTCTTAGCACAACCGAGAAATTCAAACACACAGGAACTGACCTTCTTTCCCTTGATGACATACTGCCGTTGTGTGACCTTGGATAAGTCATCTGCCTGTCTGCACAGCCCGTTTCTCTCTCTTCCCATTGGTAGGGCTGCCTCCCTATGCACATGTGAAGATGCCATGTATGGATGCAGGGGTTGGCGAAATGCTCTGAACTTATCAGAGGAGATCTTTGGAAAAGTAATGAGCTTGATGCCACTATTCTTTTTTTATGTGTATATGAGAACTGAGCTCTTTTATTTTTATTTTTTTAAATATGTTTTTATTGATTTCAGAAAGAGGAAGGGAGGGGGAGAGAGAGATAGAAACATCAATGATGAGAGTTACTGACCGGCTGCCTCCTGTGTGCCCCGTACAGGGGATCGAGCTCGAAACCTGGGCATGTGCCCTGACTGGAAATTGAACCGTGGCTTCCTGGTTCATGGGTTGATGCTGAGCCACTGAGCCACGCCAGCCGGGAGAAGCTGCTATCCTTATTTTAAAAGTGCACTAATGCTTTCCAATTACTAACTTGTTACCTTGTGTGCTGATAAGTTACTGCACTAATGGGCTAAGAATGTATTGAACAGGCTGGAATAAATAATTCCCATTGGCACTTAGGAATGCCAGTTGTAATCACAGTTAAGGACTTTGGGGACAAATGCCTTTGCATCTGGTTATCTGCTTTGGGGCTGTAGCCAAAGACCCCCTACAAGATTTAATGAATTTGGCTTTGAAGACCAAGTTCTTCTTCCTTCTTACTAGCACAATCAGAACTGCTATTGTCACTGTAAGTGTTTATGACAACCATAGACATACTTGAGAATTTAAAGGAGTATTTAAATTACATGAAATTAGAAACTAGGAGGTCCACGACTCACTTTGCATTTTCATTAAGCATTTATTTTGAGTTCAGGCTTAGTCATTTGATTGATCTCTTCCCATGTATCCTTTAGCGTGGTCATATAAATAGGCTCTACTCCACTGGTTTATTTTGAATCTTATAAATGGCAGAATTGGGCTTACAGGAGGCATGATAATTTTAATTCAAGGACCACCTGACTATGGTTTAGGTGACAGACCATGAAAAGGAATTAGAGGAGTAATGAGACCAAGCCATTTGATTTCCTTTATCCAGATGGTATGTAAAGAATCTTTAAAAATGATTCTTAGGATCACGGTTATCCATCCTTCACTTTAATGAGCACTAATGACCTAATGCTGAACTGGGTATTGATCAGAATCCAATGACTTATGACTTTGGCCATCACGAGTATCCAGTTGGAAGATACCTTGAGTGTCATTGACACCCAAAAGCCACAATTTATTCTCCAGTGTGGTATATCAGAATCCAAGGTCAGAGTGCAGGCCTGCCATAGTTTCCCATGGATGAAGGAGTGCCATTCGTCAAGGATCTTTTTTTTTTTTTTTTAATATATCTTTATTGATTTCAGAAAGAGGGAGAGAGAGAGGTAGAAACATCAATGATGAGAGAGTCATTGATCAGCTGCCTCCTGCAACCCCCCAACTGGGGATTGAGCCCGCAACCCGGGCATGTGCCCTGACTGGGAATCGAACCCGATATCCTGGATCCTAGGCTGATGCTCAACCGCTGAGCCATGCCTGGCCAGGCTGCGGTACCCCTTTTGGGAGTAGGGGAAGCAGGTGGTACAAGAGGCTTTTTAAAATGCCCATCCCAGTGTCCTCTTGAGAAAATGCAATTGGCTCTCTGAAGATCTCCCCAGGTGGGTCAGAAGCCCACCTTACTTTTTTTGTTGTTTTGCAAATTTACTTTTGGCAAATTCTAAAGGCACTGTGGGTTAGGTTGTGTGTGTACCATCCAGACAGTCTCATGGTAATTTGATTTTGAAGCAATTTCTTGTCACTAGCTTGCTTGCTTGTTTTCACTTCTCTCTCAAGGTAGAAACACTAGAGGAAAAAATAAGCCCAGCTGAAGAGATGGGGAGCCGCGTTTAGATTCAGGTGCTCTAAAATCCTAGAGGCTTGGGACACTGATTCTCTTACCCTTTTCAGACAGTTTTTAATGTCTTTTCTTTTCATGGAAGTTTTAGGCATTGTATTCATGAAAATTTGATGTGATATGTTTTTTGGAATTCCATTTTGCAAGCACTAATGTGCCCTAAGGATATACAAGTGAAAAACAAAACCTACGTGTCTGTCAGGCCCACAGAGTACCCGGGGGAGTCGAGGAAAGGAGTTAGTTGCACAGTAGATGCTTAAGAACGAAACAGAGGTGGGTACAGGACGCTGAGAGACGAAGAGCTGGGCGTGCCTCTCCCTCCTGGGGTGGGACATGGGGCGAAAGGACGTGGAATCAGGGAGGAAGCTTATAAAAGGCTTCACAGAGTAAGCATATTCTTAGTTCCTTTTTATGGAATTCTGCTGAGTTTCTGGGCTTAACTCAGATGGAGACATCAAAAAGGAAATTTTTATTTTATATATTTGACATAGATGATAAGACAATATATTGTTGGGATAGTGATAGCTACCATTTATAGAACACACTGTGTGCTAAGCATTTTACTGGTATCATATCATCTATTTCTCGGAGCCCCTCCTATGAAGTAGGTAGTGTTAGCTGCATCTCATAGATGTGGAAACTTTGGCCCAGAGAGGTTAAGTGACATGGCTAAGGTCACACAGCTAAGAAGCTGTAGAGCTGGGATTTAAACTGGGATATCTTTGCCCCCAGAGCCAGTGTCCTGACCTCTACATGCACTGCCTTTTTTGTGCAGCTGCCGTCACAAACTGCCCCCCTCCACAGATACTCTGGGCTGCGTCTTGCGGGGGTCCTCCATGCTTCCCCACGAGAGGCTGGGCCTTTCTTCCCTGTTATTGGTATTTGATTTCCATTTAATTCATTGCACCCTCTTGCTTTCACTTCTCTTAGTAGTTAAGAGCTATTATGACTTCAAGACTATCTCAGATCTAATTTGGACTTACTATGTGGCCTTGGGTGAGCCATTTTTAAGTCTCACTCATTTTCTCTGTTTGCCACCACTTGGGAATGGGATTATTAGTAATCCTACTAGTATAAAGCAATGCTAGTATTTCTGGTGAAATGTTATCATCTGTAGCTTTTGTGCCCTGGAGCTAGGTCTCAGCTGGACTGATCCACTCTGAACGAGCCCATCTTTTGGGGGGAGGTTGTGCTTGTCTGTCTAAGAGCCTAAAGCACGCTCACAGCTCAGCCCGTTTCCCTGTCTTCAACATTTCTGATGCCCATCCTTCCAACACTGTCGTCAATGCAGTTGTCTCTGCTTTAGATGATGACGACCTTGCCCCAGCTGTCCCTGGAGGACAGTGGCTCGATGAGTAAGTCCTAAAGCTTGCTAGCTGCGTCTCAGCATTTCACATGCCTGTGCTGATTGGACAGACCCCGTCTGGGCCTTAGGACTTGGTTGGTCTCAAGGGTCCTGAGCATCACAACTCGAAGTGTCTGCAGTGGTGATTTATTTTTCTGATTTGTGTTTCCTTTTTCAGCAAATGAAAAGATTGAAGACATCAATGGCTGTCCGAAGAACAGATCGCAAATGGTAAGTGGTTCACGGGTAGAGGGTGTTTGTGTCATGTTAACCCTGCCTTTAAGTGATATTGACCATTGTGAAAACATTTACACCATAACTTTTATTCTAGGGGATTATATTAATAAACTAACAGCCATTTCCAAGTAGCCATGGTCTGCTTTTCTGACATTTGTTGGCATTTACTGAAAAATGACTATGACTTTTATATAGACTATGAGACAGCGACAATGAAATATGGTGCTTGCTCTTAGAAACAAGTTATGCAGAACTGGTGCAAACATACGCCTGCTTAGAACTTGGACTGTTGGGACTTGTTCTGCTTCTTCAAAGACCCACAGCAGTTTCTGTCTGAGGCACAGATGAGGTGATGGTATCTCACTATCAGAATTGGGGGCATGTGATCTGATTTCCTTTAAAGGTTAGAATGATGTGAAATCAGAACTGTGACGGGAAATGGGAAATGAATTATATCCAGATCATTCTCGATGTAACCTTGACAAGTGATATTCCCTCTGCTGTGATGTGCTTGCTTAGCTCTGTTATTAAAGCTTCTTTTTTTTTAAAAAGAATCTTTTAAAATCTATTCTTTGCTTGTTGCATGTTCTACATATAACCATTGAATTAAAATTCATGATCATTGTTGAGTTGAGAAAACATTAAATTGTGATGCTCTGAGTGCTTAGCTTTTCCCTTCAAAATGCTTTGAAACATGGATATTTATACTAAAAATGTATATTATCAGTGTCTGTTAAGATGATGCTGATACCTGTTTAAAATATGAAGGTAGCAACTTAAGGACCACTTTTTCTCTCTCTGGAGACATTAATTTGCTTCCAGAAATCTAAAAAAAGGGGATAATTTGTTTTTCTAACCTCACCTCAGTTCAGTTGAGTAGGCACAATTTGATAGTCTCTTTCCAGAATGCACCACATTGACTGGCATTCCTTGGGTGCCGTGTCCGATTTTCTGAATTGTTATCCCAGTGAGTTGGACAGGTAGCCTTTGTAGTCAACTCTTTTTTTATGCATACAACTTTTTTTATAAAGAGGGTGGGTGCGTGCATGTGTGTGTATGGTGGAGGGAAGTCATTTTTCAGGGTACATTCTGAAGCAAGTCTCTGTTTTATTGTTCCTCTGGGGATTGTTTCTTTTCATTTGATCCAGAGAGCAACCATGGATCCAGAAAAGTCCCCATGCAGACAGCTCATGGCTGCTTTGACTTTTGGAAAAGCTTGGCTGCTATTTTTGCTCGAGCTACTGCAGCTGTCTAGTGTATTAATAATTGAGACAATTTGGATGATAGAAGACTTAATTTTAGTGCAGGCATTTTACTCATGCAGTTATATCTTCACGTGAAAATGCAGTACTTCCTCCTGGGATGGATATCAGTTCATGTGCCTAGCCCATGCTGATGCATGTGTAGAACTGACATTTGAAGGTAGGGAACCTTTTATTCTATTTGGAACATTTGTATCTTCCCCACCTTCCTTTGGAGGTGTCTGTTGTTAAAGTCTGCTTTCAAACTTATAAGACTCTCACCTCAGTTTCTTCTGTGCAATTCAGTTCTATGTGTAAATATCTTACTTATAAATATTACCATAGTAGCAGTGCAATTTTGTGGTTTCCCTATAACTCTTTCAGCTGTGGAAGTACGGATTATTGTTGTTTTTTCATGGACTTTTTTTTAGAACACAAGGATATAAAAATCCTATAATTGCCTGTGATAATTAGTTCCAGCTTAGGGGCAGGGAGGCAGGCATGGTCTGGTGGTAAATGTAGCAGAGAATAGTTCAGCTACAGGATGTGAGGCCAGGAAGACGTAAGAGCCTCTGCCACAGTGATTCCACTCTGTAGGAAATGAGAAAGATGATGAAGACAACAGGGCTATTGTCCTGTCCCCTGTATTACAAAACAGTGATAGATTCATAAGGGAGGACTGGCCTGGGGCACACGGGAAGTTCTTATAGACAAGCCCGGGTGGTGTTCTTGCTAATCGGACGCCCGAGTGTGTGTGTGCGTGTGAGCATATGGAGGGAAGCATTTCTACCCATGGCGATGTAGCAAAGTGGATGGACCACCCTTTCTAGATTCCTAGGTTAACTTAGACCTTATTTAGGGTGGCTGATGATAGAGATTTGTGGTTGTTCTCTGAATGTTGCTTGTTTGGAGGAGACCAGAGGAGAAGGTAGGTGGAGAGCATCATATTGATAAAAGGAAGATGACCCGCAGTGAGTTGAGAAGTTGGGGTATGTACCTGTTGGGAGGGTAACTGTCAGTCCCTTGAAAATAATCCACATGGAGTTCATGTGCTCACTCCCTAAGAAAATGGAGCATCTTCAGGGGCCTTTAATAATGGAGCCAAAGAAAAGCAATTTCATCTCAGAGCAGGAGGAATGAGTGTTACCCCAGTTTTCGAGGGACCAATTCATTTCATCAGCCTGTCAGTGGGTAGGAAGGGGAGCTTAGATTTTGTGGGGAGGAGGCCAAGCCTTCACCTCTTACTCCCGCCCTCCCACTCAGCCCCCTCCTCCTGACCCACCCGCAGCCTCAGAGCCCCAGCCCCTGCTCTCTCTCCTGCGCTGCAGGCTCTGCTCCAGGTCCTGCTCCCTCCCAGAGGACGGGGAAGTGAACGCAGATACTTGCGGCATACGGACTGGAGGATTCCGGGGGCATTGGTGCACAGACATGGGCATGGCATTGCACACTTGGAGCCAGTTGGCCAACATTCACAGAGTGCCAACTAATGCCAGGCACTGGGCTAGGCCAAGTGAACGAGATGCGATTCCTGCCCTCAAGGAACCCAGAGATGAGTAGGTAGGAGACCGGAGAACAACCAGCACAACGGCCGGTGCAGCTGCTCCCGCAGACACCTGTGCGGGGCCCCGCAGGGCGCATTGCACCGCGGGCCAGGGGAGGCTCTAGAATAACTTCTAGGGTGAGTCTCAGAAGGCAAGAGGGCTCGCCACAGGGGCGTGATGAGTGGGCGAGGATTCCCCTTTCTGGAGAATGTTTACCTGATGGTGTCACAGACCCTGCTGAGGAAGGTTTTGCAAGATTTGTTCATTGGTCCTCCCCAAGTGCTATAAACTGTGCCTGGTAAGGGTCTTCCAGCCTCTCAGCAACACTGACACTCTGCCACGTGGTGTTCAAGGTGAGGGCTGGGGCATGGAATTGTCCAGAGTACAGCAGACCCCACGGGCACGGTGGTCTTTTTGGACCCAGGACAAGTCTTCTGCATTCCTTATCACTCCCCAGATGGCTACAGCCCACAGAGCTCCCCCCGTTGGACCCAGGAGCAAAGTTTCCAAAAGGAAAATCACCATGGTCATCAACTCCTATGGGTGGAAGTTGAACGATGGGATCTGGAAAATGAAAACGCTACCTGGTGGGAAATGGTGGTTTAATATTTTTAACATCAGCACTAATGTGCCTCCACACAGTGCTTTCAGGTTTACCATGACTTCACACTTGTGAGCCCATTGGGTCCTCCCGACTGCTGTGGCCGGCATGGCACTCCCCACTTTGGGGTGAGAAGATCGGAATGCTGGGTGGCAGAGGGCTGTCTCCAGGGAGAGGCAGAGCTACGATCATCGGCGTCTGTAACTCTCGGCGCCCATCTTTCAGCCCTCATAAAATAGGACTGTGACCCTGACAGAGCAGTGGCAGGGACTTCCCTTTCCCCAGCAGGCTTGTTCTCAGCCTATGTGTGAGTCCTTTGCCCTGTTTCAGTCTGACCTAGATGCTTCGGGGGCCAAATCCTTGGAGATGGAGCTGTAGAAACAACACTCCCCTCTCCTGCCCTCTCTCCCCCTCCAAAGCAGTCTATTTGGCCCTTAAATAAGTTTGTGTGTGCGTCAGAGCTGGTTAAATGTTTTGTCTGTTTAGCGTTGCCATGGCAACCCAGGGGCATCTTTTTGGCTTTCAAGTGGTGTGTTCAGCAGAGTTATGTGTTAGTTTGGAAGGAGAAACATTGCTTGGAGCTTAGCCAGCGGGCGCTGGGGCGGCCACTGCCTTGCTCCCTGAACCCACTGAGCTGCAGGACATTGAATACTCACTGTGGGCCTAGGGATGGCCACTGTAGGGAGTGCTTCTCTTTTTAAATCATTATTATTTTAAGTGGCTTGGCTTTCTGCTGTTGATTAGGAGAGGTGCAACGTTAGCAAGACCTGCCAGCCCTTTCAGTGGAAAGCCCCAGGCCTGTTTTCCCCTCTGGCTGGCTGACCTCAGGCCTGGGGTCATCTGGGCCTCCCAGCACTGCCTGCCTGCTTCCTCCTGGGCTCTCAGGGAGTCCTCCTGCCTCCTTCCCTTGGTGCATCCAGACTGGGGGCCAGCCTGGGCTTGAGACCCAGACAGGCCAAGTTTGAGTTCCTTCCCTGCTAGTCTGTGGCCTTGAGCTAATTATTTAACCTTTTGAAGCCTCTATTTCCTGTTCTAGAAAGTAGGGTTGATAATAATACCTACCTCATAAAGGTTTTGTGAGGACTAATGAGGCAATGGAAGTGATAATAATGGGTAATAATATTTACAGCTATAAAATATAACTAAAGCCTCTAGAGTGTTTGTTGTGTGAACATGGTAAGTGCTTTACAAATACCCTCTTCCCTTCCCCCTGCCTCTTCCCTTCCCCACTGCCCCTGAAGCCCCTTTCAGAAAGCCAGCACCAGGTAAGACACAGTGCAATGAAGCCTAGAAAGAGCATGGATGCACCAGCCCCCAGACCTGGGCATCAGGTCCCAGTGCTGCTCCTGGATCCAGCCCTCCTTTCTCTGGTCCAGAGTCTCCTCTGTGAAAAGACAGACTAGGTTTTCTGTTTTACCTCTGACCTCTGGGAGCTGCAAAACATCAAAGCTAAGACCATGGGCTCTGAAGGCTGGCTCCTTGGGACCTGAGGCATGTTCCTTAGGTTCTCAGGGGACCAGTTTCTATGACAGGAGTAGTAATAGTACCTGCCTCGTGGGTTGTTGTAAGGCTTACATGAGATAACCAATGTGAAGTGTGCTTGTACACTGT